ATGTATGTATGTGGAACATGTATATACATGCATATACATGCACGCATAAGTGTACATACTATAAACACTTGGAACGTATATGCTTGCATGTAGGTTTGTAAACAACACAACTTTATAATATATTTAATTAACTTATTCTGTATAGACAAATTCAACACACAAGTCGCGACAACGGATTCCATCTCAGCAGCGTGACGACATCAGCGACAGCTGCCGTTAGCAGCCAAGCTTCGCGGCGGCTGTTCTCCGCCCCGGTCACCACTTGCCAGCCCGGCGCCGGCGGTGCGGCCCCAGCCTCCCGCCGTGCGGTGAGCACCTACCTGAGACGGGTCGGTGCGCCATGGAGGGCCTTCGCCAGGGGAGACGCGTCGTCGAGTGTTTGGGGGAGCGGCGGCGGCGGCGGCCACTGCCGCCCGTTAGCCGAGCCCCCGGAGCCGCGCGACGCCCCCAGCCGCTCGTCAACAGACCCCAGTCGCCATGACCGCCGACAAGGATGTTTTCGTGACCTATAAAGTCGGACAAATGGTTGGCGAGCCCATGGCTGGCGCTGTTTTGGTTTCGGCGGTTTCAATTTGTCACCGGGCGGGCCCTCGTAAATACCAAACCCTTCCGTCACAATTCAGTTAGTGTCGGCCCGGAAATTTGGACAGCCAGATGCGATGAGGAGCTAATGTATGTCCTCAGTAGCAGTGCTCTTTGTCCAGAGGCACGTGCGCTACGCGCTGTCAGTCAATATCCGGGGAGATTTGTTGCGAGGCGAAACAGCTTCCGACGCGCTCCCCGAGCACCTAGAGCTTTAGTATGGTCCGCAGAAGAGTTTTGTTCACGCTGTGATCATCGACCCCTGCTGCGAGAGACACACAGAGAGAGAGAGAGAGAGAGAGAGAGAGAGAGAGAGAGAGGAGAGAGAGAGAGAGAGAGAGAGAGAGAGAGAGAGAGAGAGAGAGAGAGAGAGAGAGAGAGAGAGAAAGAGATAGAGAAAGAGAGAGAGAGACAGAGAGAGAGAGAGACAGAGAGAGAGAGAAGAGAGAGAGAGGAGAGGGAGAGAGAGAGTGAGAGAGAGAGAGGAGAGGAGGAGAGAAGAGAGAGAGAGAAGAGAGAGAGAGAGGAGAGAGAGAGAGAGAGAGAAGAGAGAGAGAGAGAAGACAGAGAGACAGACAGACAGACGACAAAAGACAGAGACAGAGAGAGAATAGAGATAGATAGAGAGAGGAGAGATGAGTGAGTGAGCGCATAAAACAGTGCAAGATCTCACCTCAACACGTTAAGTCATACTTCCTTTGACCACACTACACGTCCACAGCATCACGCTGAGTTACAAGGCTATGCTCCAAGGACATTGGCGTGATAACAAGCAATGTGGAGTGTTTTAAGGCATTCCCGTGTTACGTGGCAGAAATAATATGTGCATGAGCTTTTGGGGTCCGATCGTGGAGCTGTATTCAGATGTCAAACACTTTAGGACAGCTCCATTATCGGAACCAAAAGCTCGCAAAACCTAACATCTTTATTCTACAGGGCGGAGGACAGTGCAACAAGCCTTCACTGTCTACTTGGACCCGTGATTTATTGTCTGAAACATAGTCTTAAAATTCTGTCTTTTCTAAGACCCTTTCCACCAGCGGCCTTGAGTAAGAGTCCCAGGCAGGGCGCATTGTTTGGCCCGACTGGCATGGTCAGCTGACAGCTGGTCGACAAGGGTCATCCCAGGCCCCGGACGGCCGGGCCGCAGCACTACACAGCACGCAAAACCCCCTGAACACCTCTCCGCCGAAAGAGTGTAGGCAAACAGAATTATCTAAACTGGACGACCCAACTAGAGCGGTCTATTCAGAGTATATGCAACACACTGTGTCTGACGGGTGCGTTGGACCCGAATCCGGAAAATAGTTATAAAATACTTAAGTGGCAACAACCCTGTCAGTTGCGAATGCTAGGACACACCGACCAAAACACGATCCCTGAGGCGCCTATCAGCGCACGTTTCGAGGCGCGAGTTGAGTGGAGGCTCTGGCACCCGGCTGCTGCTGATAAGGTGGTGCCGGTGGTGCTGATAAGGCCGTCACTCGCCGCGCCATCACGCCATCGTGAGCGACGGCAGCGGTGTGTGCACGGTACACACTGACCCGGAGTCGGTGGCGGGCAGCTGGGCGACGGCAGCGGTATGTGCACGGTACGTACTGGCCCGGAGTCGGTGGCGGGCAGCTGGGCGACGGCAGCGGTGTGTGCACGGTACGCACTGACCCGGAGTCGGTGGCGGGCAGCTGGGCGACGGCAGCGGTGTGTGCACGGTACGTACTGGCCCGGAGTCGGTGGCGGGCAGCTGGACGACGGCAGCGGTGTGTGCACGGTACGTACTGACCCGGAGTCGGTGGCGGGCAGCTGGGCGACGGCAGCGGTGTGTGCACGGTACGCACTGGCTTGGAGTCGGTGGAGGGCAACTGGGCGACGGCAGATGTATGCATAGTACTTACTGGCCCGGAGTCGGTGGCGGGCAGCTGGGCGACGGCGGCGGCGTGTGCACGGTACGTACTGGCCCGGAGTCGGTGACGGGCAGCTGGGCGACGGCGGCGGCGTGTGCACGGTACGCACTGGCCCGGAGTCGGTGGCGGGCAGCTGGGCGACGGCGGCGGCGTGTGCACGGTACGTACTGGCCTGGAGTCGGTGGAGGGCAACTGGGCGACGGCGGCGGCGTGTGCACGGTACGTACTGGCCCGGAGTCGGTGGCGGGCAGCTGGGCGACGGCGGCGGCGTGTGCACGGTACGTACTGGCCCGGAGTCGGTGGCGGGCAGCTGGGCGACGGCGGCGGCGTGTGCACGGTACGTACTGGCCCGGAGTCGGTGGCGGGCAGCTGGGCGACGGCGGCGGCGTGTGCACGGTACGTACTGGCCCGGAGTCGGTGACGGGCAAGCTGGGCGACGGCAGCGGTGTGTGTACGGTACGCACTGGCCCGGAGTCGGGGCGGGCAGCTGGGCGACGGCGGCGGCGTGTGCACGGTACGTACTGGCCTGGAGTCGGTGGAGGGCAACTGGGCGACGGCGGCGGCGTGTGCACGGTACGTACTGGCCCGGAGTCGGTGGCGGGCAGCTGGGCGACGGCGGCGGTGTGTGCACGGTACGTACTGGTCCGGAGTCGGTGGCGGGCAGCTGGGCGACGGCGGCGGTGTGTGCACGGTACGTACTGGCCCGGAGTCGGTGGCGGGCAGCTGGGCGACGGCGGGGCGTGTGCACGGTACGTACTGGCCCGGAGTCGGTGGCGGGCAGCTGGGCGACGGCGGCGGTGTGTGCACGGTACGTACTGGCCCGGAGTCGGTGACGGGCAGCTGGGCGACGGAGGCGGTGTGTGTACGGTACGCCTGGCCCGGAGTCGGTGGCGGGCAGCTGGGCGACGGCGGCGGTGTGTGCACGGTACGTACTGGCCCGGAGTCGGTGGCGGGCAGCTGGGCGACGGCGGCGGTGTGTGCACGGTACGTACTGGCCCGGAGTCGGTGGCGGGCAGCTGGGCGACGGCAGCGGTGTGTGCACGGTACGTACTGGCCCGGAGTCAATGGCGTGCAGCTGGCGTAGTGTTTCTGCTCGCGGTCTGAGGCGAGCACATGCCTGTAGCCTTCGTCCTGTAGTTTGTTCTGAGCACTGTCCTGAAGTCCTTGAAGTCTGGTCTGTCTGGGCGCGTGTCTGTACTGGCTCATAGACGCTGTCATTAAGCGAATCAGTCAGTCAGTCAGTAAGTGACACCTATATCGGGCAGAGGTTCCTGAGTGCGGGCGTTGCCTGCAGCGCAGTTCTTTCTTTGCCAGCATGCATTTCTCTCGCATCGGAGTTGCTATGAACGCATCAGCCGCCAGAGCAATTTTGCCCTGACTTTTGCAATGAAATAGAATGTAAATGCTTACCGCGCGATTTTCGATTGTCCGCACGCCTTTCGCCAAAGGCTGGGTCAGTTGCATGCCCCGTTAAATTAGTGAAAGTCAGCAAGGCATCGATCCACCTCTGGCGCCGGCAGGGTCTGTGCCTAACTAGTTACAAATGCGTACTGAGCCGAGGCTTTCATGGGTGCATGGCACTCATTAGCTCATGTGTGTGTGTGTGTGTGTGTGTGTGTGTGTGTGTGTGTGTGTGTGTGTGTGTGTGTGTGTGTGTGTGTGTGTGTGTGTGTGTGTGTGTGTGTGTGTGTGTGCGGTGTGTGTGTGTGTGTGTGTGTGTGTGTGTGTGTGTGTGTGTGTGTGTGTGTGTGTGTGTGTGTGTGTGTGTGTGTGTGTGTGTGTGTGTGTGTGTGTGTGTGTGTGTGTGTGTGTGTGTGTGTGTTTGTATTGCATACGTCCGCTGGGACGTGTATAGACATCACGACTGACGGAGGGCCGCTGCTCTCCGAGAGTCAAGCAGACCGCGGCCGCTGCACATGACAATCGCTGGCATATCATCTCACGAAATGCCTCCTAACGCGTATTTTCACACATGTACGCCGTCAATGCTTCTCGTTACAGCAACGGCGCTGCGTACAAAACCGCCGCAGCGTACAGGGTAAAGGAAAACGTGATTTATTGTCGCTTTCGGGGCTATGAGGAAGCGGGGTGGAACCCAGCCCTTGCCACACAGCATGGCACACACAAATGTATGTTGTCACGCGGGCCAGTCCGAGCCCAGCGGTTCGCTGAACACGCCATTCATCATTCAGTAAATCGACCCGCCGTCATCATCACCGCCGCCGCCGTCGGCCGTCGCAGTCGACGCGCTGCCACGGAGCCATGAGGACGGTGCGCTCCCGAGGACCGGGCCGCGGCCTGATCGGCCTGATGCTACTCTCCACCACCGGCCTCCTGCTGACCGGCCTGCTCTCGTCCTGCCCACCGGAACAGTGCCTCGGCGCGAGAGCCGCCGCCGCCGCCGCCCGCCGCGCCGTCGCTGCCGCCGCCGCCGCCGCCGCCGCCGCCGCGTCGCCGACCTCTGGCCACGGAGCCGCCCGACACCGGCGGCTGTCCGCGCGGCGGCGGCGTACTCTCTGTCAGCGGCGGCGGCCGGCTCGGCAACGTCATGTCCGAGTACGCGACCCTGCTGGCGGCTAACGGCACGCTGCAGCGGCCGGCGTGGCTGCAGCCCGACATGGCGCGCACCCTGCGCAAGTACTTTGTGGCGCCGTCGCTTCCCGTGCTGCACCGACGCTGCAAGCTCCGGTGGACGACAACGTCACTGGACGAGCTGATGGCCGACCCGGGCCGCGACGCCGCCGCCAACCACCTCATCACCGGCTTCCCGCACGACGTGCCGGGCTTCCACCCGCTCCGCGAGCAGCTGCTGCGCGAGTTCACCTTCCGGCCGGAGCTGCGCGCGCGCGCCGCCGCGCGGCTGGCACAGGTCGTGCGCGACGCCAACCTGACGGCGCCCGTGTTCGTCGGCGTGCACGTGCGCCGCACCGACTACGCTGCCTGGATGGAACGGAGCGTGCGTGGCCACCTGGTCGGCTTCGACTACCTGTACCGCGCCATGGCGCTCATGCGGCGCCGCTGGCCGACCGCCGCCTTCGTGGTGACCTCTGACGACCTGGGCTGGTGCCGGCGCGCGCTGCGAGGTCGCGACGTGTTCCTGGTCGGCGACCGGGACGTGCGCCGGCCGGGCGCCGACCTGGCCCTGCTCGCCGCCTGCAATCACAGCATTCTGACGCACGGCACGTTTGGCTTCTGGGCCGGCTACCTGGCCGGCGGCCAGGTGGTGGCGCCGGCCGGCTACGGCCAGCGGCCGACGCGGCTGGACGAAGACGTGGAGCGCGCCGGACTCGGCTGGACGCGGCTCAAGGCGTTTGTCTACAGCTGAGCGGCGTCGGCGTCGGCGCGGGTCACGCGTGCTGCCTTGGGGAGGGGTGGAGGTGCCGCGCGGCGCAGATCACCGCGCCAGGTCGACATGAGGCGCGGAACACTGCGGGAAGACGGAGGTGGCCAGCGGCGACCGAGAATAGCCCGCTGCTGTAGATCTCTACAGGCTTAGATGGTCTGGCGCTTTGAAGCGAAGCTGATATTTTTCGTGGGAGTGTGATAGGCAGCGCATAGCACACGGGGCAGCAGAGGCTATGTGACTCAAGCGTGCTGTTCCAGTGCCACCGCATTATAAATGCCATCATTTGACCAGGCTTATGGCTGATGGGTACGGCTGCGGGCGAAGCCAGGAATTGACGGCTTAAATTTGATCTCTTTTCTGCTGCCTTGTCTTTCAGAGTATGTACTCTTGCCTCCGTGTGGCTCTCGAGTGGTTGCTTCTCATGACGAACAGAGGTATGACGGGAGGGATCGGAAATGATGTGATGCAGCCTTTTTACTAAGTGGTATACAGACAAGGACCCAGGCCGCTTTGCTTGGGGTGTGTTCATAATGTTATTGACGACTAAAATTGTTATGGCGACTGACAAACGTGAGGACTACGTCCGTCAGTGGAGTGGAGCCATTGTAATCGAGAATGGACGTTACTTGCGTGGACGCATTCTATGCAAATAAATTTAGTTACCGTGTGATCACTCTAATCCTTCGTTTTCTAGCTTTCCCTCTACGTTTGTCCTAGCCTTCTACCCCGTCTCCCTCCCGTTATGAAATGAAAACAATAGTAAACTTTTTTAAACTACGCGCTATTTCAACTATTTCAAACCTACTTATTCTCATTCGCGTTTAAAATCGCGGTTCCATGACCGCACAAACAGCCATCAGCTGGGAAGGTTGTGTCGATAGTGGGCAGAGGCCTCTAGAATAATGGCTCAGGGTGAAATGCGAACACTCGACACGCACACCTGTGACGTCGGACTCAGTGGCGCTGCTCCTCGGACGGGCTGGCTACTGCTAAGAAACTGCGGCACCCGTGGCATACGTGGTTCGTAACCCATCAGAGGTCCGTGCACGTTTCGATTGACCTGGTGACCTAGAACTGGTGGATTCGTGTGAGCATGTCAGCCGAGTCACCAGTTCAGCTCCCGCGCTGAGGGGCAGACTCTGGTCGGGACCATGAGTCTCCGAGCTGACCTCGCACCGAAACTCAGAACGCGTTACATTGCACCGGCAGCAGCTAAGCGGGAGATCGTCCCGAGGCCGAGCGAAAGACAGCGCGGGCAGATCACACCCAGAAAGGCTGAAATATGCTGAAGCTTTTTGGGTTATATAAAATTCACTGCACAAATTTGATGTTGCGCAGGATACATATGAGAACATACCATATCCATGTAGTGTGCCCTGTAATTCATTCATTTGCTCATTTCGGGCAGCTTCTACCGATCTTAAACCCTTTTTCAGCTGGACATGGCATTTGAAACGCACGAGACATCGCGCGAAATTTGCCAGTTTTCTTGCCTGAGGTGTGAGAAAGTAAATATTGATTCAGCAGCTAACGCTAGTGGCGCGACTCTGCTATAGATATTTGATACCACCTGGTACCACGTGGTACCACGTGGGACCACGTGGTGGTGTCAAATATCCAAGGGCCCTACTTTCACTGGGAAATAAACATAGATTTGTTAACGATCCGAGACGGTGTCAAATGCGCTATATAATGTTTTGTCCCTGTTTTGTGTGTCTAATGATGTTAACAGATTTAACGAAACGCTACGCAATATCAGCATAGGCGCAATCCTACATAAATTAAGATTCCCCGTAGTCCAGTAAACCTTACAGAAAAGCAGACAAAAGCTGTCATGTTCACCGAGACATCTACCAGTAAAGAGCATGTATATATATATATATATATATATATATATATATATATATATATATATATATATATATATATATATATATACATACACACACACACACATATATATATATATATATATATATATATATATATATGTATATATGTGTGTGTGTGTGTGTTTGTGTGTGTACATATATGTGCTATTTTATGATATAATATGACACATATATATATATATATATATATATATATATATGTATATATAAGTTTGAAATATCAGCACAACATGGGGCCATGAATCTTTTATCAAAACCACATATCCCTTCATATAAGGTGGACGAAAAAAATCTTGAGGAGCATAATCAGGACGAATATCACACCGATTAACGAAGACACCGAAACTAAGCTTACAATATGTTACAAGAGCAGGACAACTGGCATTCTTTCAATGAAAAGTAGCCTGGCAGCAGACCAAAGCCAACTAAGGCGCTCCAACATGGTGTATGAATTCAAATGTCCGCACGGAGATTACCGAGCCGCGACTTGGCCTTTAGTGTTATGACTTCATCTCTATCAGGGCGCATGACAATGTACCTGCAGGAGAGAGCGCCAGACCAGCATATACGCAAAATCTGCAATCGAAAACTCCTACACTCTGACTTACTCCTACACCCTGATTTTATTTATAAATATTTTGATCCTAACATCATGGCCAAACAAACGTCGTTTACAAGGTCTCAAAGCCATCTTTATCAGGGAAAGAATGTCCGACTTAAACAAACAGCTTAGGCCATGCATCACTTTGGACTTATTCAGTTCCCCAACAACAGCAGAGTGACTCAATGTCTGGAACTTCCCAGAGTGTTGAGCTGACTGGAAAGTGTTGTGCGTGTGTTTGTATGCGTTTTGCACTTTGGCATGCTATTCGGATGCGCACTCTGTTAACTGATGGTACACCTTTGGTCATGCATCATGGGGCATGCCTATTTCGCTACATTCGAAGGTCTTCCATCCGACCGAACTGCATTCGTTAGGGAGTGGGGAACAAAACTCCTTGAAACGTTAGTTAATCGCCAGCTTAAACTAATAGAAATGGCTATAGAAGAACTGGCTTACGAGAAAGCAAAACCAACCAAGAATTTGATTCAAACAATGGGGTAAACGTGCAAGGAAGTGATTGAATGCAGTTTGTCCTCGCATGGGACAAAACTTGCAATTATTAAAGCATACTGCCCAGACGAGAGTATATATATATATATATATATATATATATATATATATATATATATATATATATGTGTGTGTGTGTGTGTGTGTGTGTGTGTGCACAAGTGCTGCCTGTATTGCGATATTACGACGGTCACGTGACTGTCATGCGTGACGTTGCTGATGAAGGCAAGGCACACAATCCTTGAAGTGATGCGCGGTTGGCTCAGTACGATGATGATGATGCGTGAAGATATGGTCATTACTGCGCTCTTTCCTGCTGATGCATTTCAAACAGTGGGACAGTGACTGAGAGCGGCTGCGGTGCAAGCTTGAACGAGGCTGTCGTTAGAGGGCTGCAAGCGGAAAGGAGCGGGCCGTCCGAAGGATGACAAGCCCGTGTAAAATTGGTAAATCTATGGATACCGGCACGGAAAATGCTCTCGGAAAATGTTTGGCAGGCTTCTTAACAACTTCGAACCAAACCCGTCAAAAATACATGGCCCACGGGTGTGTAGAGCTGACTAGGGGGCAGCGGCGGGGGGGGGAGGTAAACTCCCAGGAGAAGGTATTTTGTGCGGTACTAAGGACCCGTGAAGTCTTCAAGAACGACCACACAACAGCCTCGTCTCTCATACGTGAGAATTGGTGAGCTCTTATCTGACGGCACTGGCAATCACAGTCAGGAATATCAGCGTGGTAGGGATAATGCAGCATGGAGCTTCAGAACACTTAGTCTCAGGAACAGCTGCATCAGCACCACTGATCGCCGATGTGGAAGAGGTTTGAAGGCACATTTCAATTTTCGGCAGATTCACACGGAATCGAAACTGGTGTTGCCATTTTCGAAACCGGGCGAACAAAGTCCATTTTCCCCGCGCTGCGACCCCCGTGACAGGGACAAATGACCATGACCTCCCGCTGGAAGGGGACGCCGAACCTCCCGCCAGAGGCGCGCAGCAAGAGGCTCGGTCAGACCAATAACAGGCTTTACGGCAACGTTTTCACCGCTATTTTGCGACCGACCGCACAATAGCCTCATTTCGAGCGGCGGTTCCGGGTTTTTAATGACTGTTTACACCAAAAAGTCAGACGCGGGTCGGGCAGAATAGGCCTTTTCGCCAAACGGCAGGAGTACTGGAAACCGTGGGCGCAGGGAAGGGGAAATATGAAACGTGGTCAGTGGTACACATCATTCAGCCCGCCCCCAGCCCTTGGCAAACCTCTCTCGACGCTCTGGCACACCTCGGGTCACTCACTACGGGCAGGGCACCACCTGCCTGACATGCCCAATAGTCATGACCCACGACCACGTCTCATGCCACCTTAACTATGCATAAACCTGGCCTCAGCCGGCATAATTAGCGGGCAGTTTTTTATATTTGTCGCCACCGGGCTGTCCCTCGGGAGGGACCATCAGTCAGCGCCCCGCGACAAACGAGCCTCGCCGCGCCGGAAGTCGCTGTCTGACCCGAGGAGTGCCCGAGGACCGGTGCGTGGTTCACACGGTCATGCAGGATTCACAGCGCGCCCCCACCGCCGCCCCTGCCTGCGTTTGTTGGCTCGTGCTCAGGTGTTCCGAGTCGCTCAACCGCAGGCGGCGGGCCTTGGCGAGTCACATGACCTGGCGATGTGATGCGGGCTCGTGAGGTTCGGCCTAGCTGTACTGACATAGCAGATTAGAGTGTGAGGTTAACTTTTGCTTTAATTAAGATTTTTGCATGGATTAGAATACAATGCGTGCATACAATACATTCTTGGCGATGAAAGCCTGGACTGCCGTGGCTCAAAGCTAGATGTGCTGTTGGATTGCAGTTGATGATTGAGTTGGATGAAGTCTCGCATACAAAGTCTTCCAGGTGAAAAATATGTCCACCATACACATACACACGGACATATACAGGGTCGATGTGCACGCTGACAGCGGCGTTACGTATGAGATATGGACAGAAGTAAAGGATGTTCACCGTAACCTTCGCATCCAAACTGATTCCATTCATCAAAATGGCATTACGTTTACTATGCATGACACTTGTCTGATTGGCTGCACGAATAGAAACCTCGCTAATTCATCTCTCATATAATAGCCGGGAGACGTTGCATTCCGTTTTCGTCGCATCGTTGGGCACTGGATGCGCAACGCAGCGGTGATTAGGCGTGCGGCAGCTTAAGATGTCTGTGACATCCGAGTAATAGATATAACAATAATGTGATATCCGAGTGATGGTGCCAAAATGTGCAAATTTTTACTATAATGGTAAGTGTCTCAATTTCGCATTCTGCTTTTTCAATTGGAGAACGATGAAATAAAATGACAACGCTTACAGTCTACAATTCCTCGTTCAATTTGCACGCTTCGAAACAAAATCACCGCAATTTGAGTGACCTTATCGTTTCGGTATCGAGGAAGCTTCATTCTCGTATGAGCCTCTTCTCCGGCAGTGCGACAGTGTCTGCCACTCCCACACCACAGAATGCCTTGTGACATAGTTGAGGAATATTGGGGAAGAGAAACCCTCATGAGGCAGATTCAGATGGCAATAGCTATCAAACCAATGCGGTACTTCATTCTACTGATGTTCACGTGATCAGAAAAAAACGGATGTGCTCTAAATGGTA